TCACAGACACGGCCACGGTCACAGACACGGCCACGGTCACAGCCATGGTCACGTCATCCACAGGGAAACAGACAACAGGCGTGCTGAGACAGGCACCGGGATCGCCGTTGCTGTTCGTCCAGGGGGTGATGTGACGATGTACAACAGGGTGAGGAAGAGGGTGGAATCACAAACTTCTGCAGGAAAGAGTCTGAAGTTTACAGAAGAATTTAGGTCTTTAAGGATCAAGTCACATATAAAATGCCAAAGAATCAAAGAAGTGTTAGGCAAGAGGAAAGAGAGAGAGCTCTGCTGAGACGTGGAAACCCCTGAGGGAGGAACAGCGTGTCCTGGTCTTGGGGCGTGCTGGGCAGACAGGATTCTAAACACCACCCCCTACCCCGCCCCACCGTGCTGTGCTCATCCTGTGCGGGCCTCTCCTTGAGCGTGGATGGGGCCCATGTCACACCCGTGGCAATGTTGCACTGTGTTGTGTAAGACTCTGCCTTAGCCAGGGAGAGATTCTCTCTCTGGCTTGAAGAAGCTGCCCCACTGTGGGGGTCCTGGGGCAAGGACCTGCAGGCAGCCGCTCGGAGCCAAGATTGGCTCCCAGCTGGCTGAAGACATGGAAAGCTTCAGCCCTGCAACCACAAGACCTGAATTCTCCCAACGTCCAGTGAGCTTGGAAGAGGACCCCAAGCACCAGACGAGAACAAAGCTCCTGCTGGCACCTCGTCTCAGCCCAGTGGGATCTGGGCCAAGGAGCCCAATGCCCCCATGCTGGACTCAGGACCCATGCAGTCCATGGAGTGATCCGAGGTAGTGCTTGTGACCTGCTGAGTTTGAAGTCGTTGCTTATGCAGCAATAGAAACTGAGATGTGAAGGAGATTCCCTGGGCACCGGTCAGCCACCTGTGTGAGGCTGCTGAGACAGAACGCCCACACACACAGCAAATCATCTGAAGTGGGTTTATTCCCTGCAGACAGAAAACAAGGGTGGTAGAAGATGAGGGTGCCTTGTGAACCAGTCCTGCAGGCCCAGGAAAGCGGCAAGGAGGGGACGGAGCCTCCTCTACCCTTTGCTGTAACCAAGGGGCTCCAAAAAGCAGCCCACAGTGGGTTTTATACCCTGAGGTCATGTGAAATGCTGGGCTAAAGGTGGAAGGATGTCTTGTTTCTGGGGTGGGACCCAAACAAAGCCTGGCTGTCCTCAGCCTGTTGCATTCCCAGTGCATTCCAGTCATTCTGGAGAGGTACCAGCCAGAAACAGGGAGAACCAGGTTTTGTCCACGACCACCCAGAGAACAGTCCCACAGCATAGCTGGACTTAAAAAAGATATGCAGCTTGGGACGGGCGCGGTGGCTCATGCCTAGTCCCAACACTTCGGGAGGCTGAGGCGAGCGGATCATGAGTCAGGAGATCGAGACCATCCTGGCTAACACGGTGAAACCCTGTTGCGACTAAAAATACAAAAATTAGCCAGACTTGGTGGTGGGCGCCTGTAGTCCCAGCTACTTGGGAGGCTGAGGCAGGAGAATGACGTGAACCTGGGAGGCGGAGCTTGCAGTGAGCCGAGATCGCACCACTGCACTCCAGCTGGACGACAGAGCGAGACTCCGTCTCAAAAATAAATAAATAAATAAAGGAGATACGCAGCTTGCTGTCTACTCAGTTGATGGGCTTTCTCTTTCTTTCCCTGGTTGTTCTGCAACGTTGGACTTCCTTGGTGGTGGTGGCGGTACCGTGTGTGTGTGTGTATGTAGGCACACATGTGCATGTGTGTATCAGTGTGTGCATCTTTGTGCATATGTGTGCATTTGTGCAACGATGTACATGCGGGTGTGTACACACGTGCCCGTGTATGCATATCTTAGCATGTCCTGTGTGTGTTCATGTGTTTGCATGTGTGTGCACCTGCATGTGTACATGCTGTGGATGTTTGTGTGTGTGCTTATGTGTGTGTGTATAGTCACACACACATGTGTGTAATCTTGGCCCCATGGAATGTACTCTCTGGGCAACGTAGATATTTCACACAGGCTCGGGAATGTCAGGCTTCTCTCAGGAGCAGTTCGCAGGACTCCTCGTCCCCATGGCTGTCAGGACCCCTTCTTTGGGAGAAGTCCTGCGCCCACCTGGAGGGCAGGGAAGGACCCTGTTTTACACATGGCTGTGCAGCCTTCACTTCAGCCCCCACCTCCATCCTGGGTCCCAGCCACTGTGCTCTCACCCTTCCCTGAACTGTCCCTGACATGACACTGTTGGGCTTATCATTGTAAGTTGTGATCACTGTAGAGATGGCTTATCTGACCTTCTATAGAGATTATAAATCCCTTCGGCAGCAAAAACTACACATCATTAATTGAAAAAATTATTTTATTATACTTCTAGAACTCCAACATTTTTCAGAAACTGGTGTCGTTATGCCACACACGGTCTAATCCTCTGTCCCTGCAGAGCTGGGACCGTCGGGCTGTGCACAGGTCCCCGTGAGATGGGTGTCTGCCATCTGATTGGGCTGAATGGAGGCTGCCCACAGCTTCTCTAACAGCCCCAGATGCTCCCAGGGCCACGTGCACTCAGTCAAAGCTAAAGGGACCCATTCTGCCTGGAGACCCTCCCAGAGTCACCCCCTCACTCTGAGTCCCAGCAATGCTTCACCGTGTTCTATGGAGGAGAATCCCTGGCTGGACCCTCGGTCATCCCACCCAATGAAAGAGCTTGTGGGTTATTACAGAAAAGGCTGAAATTTGATAGTTAAAGATAGAAATTGCCAGTGAAGTAAATTCATCTGTTATGATAAACAGATAAAGCACGTGTTTATTGAAATAGTACCTCTATGAGGAATATTTTAAGAATGCGAATGGGGTTTTGTTTTTGTAAACTTTCAATTACCTTCCCCTCCCTGACCCTGTCCAGGTATTCATCTCCTGCCCAGATCCCAGGGTGGCTTTCCTCAAACGCATGCCCCATCCGAATTTTCTTCTCCCCTGTCTCTCGAGAGAATGCCCAGGCTCCTGACCGTGTCTCAGACTGCCCTGCACCTCAGCCTCTGGCTCTGCTGCCTCTTCCTTGTTCCTTCATGGGCTCTGGCACCCCCAGGCATGTTCAACCTCTTGCGATTCCTGCATTCCCTGTAGTTCATGACCCAGCCTTTGCCCTGACTGCCAGCCAGTCCTGGGATACCCCTAAGACTCCTATGTGAACCGTGAGGAGTATTCATGTTCCAAAGTCACAGAACTCTGGAAGCCACCTCCCCAGCCTGCTGTGGGTCTTTGCTGGGTCCCACTAGTGTCCAGGTCTGTCTCTGCTGTGGCCCTAGTGCCATCTTAAGAGTCTGCTAGCTCCTCACCAGCACTACCCTAGACCATGGGCTTCCTTGATTTATTTCCTCAGGATCCTCAATACCCAGCTTAGGGCTCAAGGCACAGTGAATGCATAGTCCATGTTTTTAAATGAATGCTTTTATGTTCTAAATGACTTAAGCATTCCCTTGCTCTATCAGCTGAGAGAGTCTAGAAGCAATGACACCTCATTAACATTGAACACACCAGTGCCCAGATCTTGGTTTCTAACACCGTTCTAGGAAAGGAGCCAGGGCTTATTGGAGAATTGACTGATTCAAGGGCAAAGGTGGGACATGCAGAAGGTGACCCTGGAGTATCTTTAGTGGCAGAAATTAAGGAGATGCCCAAAAAGCCAAGTGATGAGCTCCTGTCAGAGGCGCACAGGAGCCAGGAACCCCCCACAGAGCTTGTCAAGGCTAACCTGGAAGAAGCTGAGCAGGAAAAGAAGCAAAGTCACACTGGAGTCCAGCCCAAGCATGGGCTGAATATCCGAGTCCATAGCAATATAAATAAAAGATTGAGTACATAAGCAACGTGGAGGCATGAACGAGTATTCACCACCCCCCGCCCCCAGAACATTTCCCAGTCACTCATGTAGCTACTTCTCCTCCTCGGAAGTGGACACAGCCCATACCCCTAAGTGTGAGCTGTGCATGGCGATGTCCTTCCAGAGAGGACAGCATGGAGAGGTGCACTTCACAGTGGGGAGACCTCAGCCAGCCGACCACGGCCACCACTGACAGTGAGGAGTCATGTCAGCAGTGTGTATACCCTTGTTATGACATGATGAGAATGGCATTTACCTGTGTGGTCTTCCTCCCAAAACCCATAACCTCAGGCTATTTATGAGGAAAACCTCAGACAAATCCCAACTGAGGCGCATCCTGCAATGCACCTGACCAGGGCTCCTCAAACCATCATGACTTTGCTCCTCAAAGTCATCAACAGCAAGGGCTGTCTGAGACCCTGTCACAACCAAGAGGAGTCCAAGGAGATATGGCAGCCAAATGTGACAGGATCCTGGACAGAAACAGAAAATTGGGTAAAACCTAAAGAAATCTGAATAAACGCAGACTATTGTTAGTAATAATGTATCAGTGTTAGTGGTGATGAATCTAGCCTACTGATATGTTAACAACATGAGAAACTGGGTATGAGTATATGGTGACTTTCTGTAATATTCTTGCAAATTTTTAGTATGTGTAAAACTATTGCAAACAAAATAATTTATTTTTAAAATGACCTGCCTAAAAGAGGTTAAACTTTGATTGCAAATCAACTAAACTCAGCCTGTTTTCAAGACGTTACTCTTTGTTATGGTCTGTAGGGGTTCTGAAAATTTTTACAAATATAATTTCTCCTTTTGAAGTGGGGTGTTCCAGAATGCCATGCCTCTACAGATATAATTGGGGTTTCACATCAGGGGACACAACCCTGAAAGTTACCCAAGAAAGAAATGGTCATGAGTCTAGAAATTAAATTTTCTGATGTTATAGGTATTGATTTTCTTGGGACGTCTGACATGTCTAACACTTATACTCCACCACATCACTGAATCTATTGTACTTTAATGCCGGTTTTTGTTTGTTTGTTTTTAACCATCGATCATTTCAGCGCGGCTTCAGGCTTAGCATTAGATGCTAACAGCAACTCTATTGAATATCTTTCTTTAGGTGTCAGCATTTTCTACCTGGGAGAAAGAATTACACAAAATCGTGTTTGACCCACGCTATCTCCTGCTCAACTCTGAGGAACGAAAGCAGGTAATGGAGTGGGAGGGCACTTTGACTGCAGAGAGGGGCATGAAAGTGACTGCTGCATCCTGGATCTGGGGAGCTTTTCGTTCCTGAATGACAGACACTGTGTTGTAAATGTGGCCAGTGGGGAGGAGTTACAACTCCAGCACTGGAGCTTGCAAGCTTGTGAACAGAAGAGTTAGAGGGACTGAGGAAGGCTATTCTGGTCATTATTCTTACCTCACCATTTGGTTATGACCCTGGAAGACAAATACTTTTAAAGATGAAAATGTAGATTTTAGGAGCATTAACCCTCATTCCAAATGACCATAAATCATATGTTAAAAATATGAAATACTGAAGGTATTATATAAAGATACTGAAATAGGTGGTCTTATGTAAGACCTTAAGGTTTTATATGCTTAAAGTCTTATATAGTATGAAAGTTGTCAGAATGAAAATGAAGCCAGTAATGTTAAGAGAACCCTGACAAATAGAATGGGGGAAGACCATGAAGAGAGGGTTCTCACACTTGTGTACCTGATAACTAAAAAGGCTCTATGAGAACAACAGTCTTGCACACAAGGCCATCAAAACCTTCTATTCTATTCTATTCTATTCTATTCTATTCTATTCTATTCTATTCTATTCTATTCTATTCTGTTCTGTTCTGTTCTGTTCTGTTCTATTCTATTCTATTCTATTCTATTCTATTCTATTCTATTCTGTTCTATTCTAGACAGGGTCTGGCTCTGTTGCCCAGGCTGGAGTGCATTGTTCCAATCTCAGCTCACTGCAACCTCCACTTCCTGGACTCAAGCCATCCTCCCACCTCAGTCTCCTGAGTAGCTGGGACTACAGGCACCAGCCACCAGGCCCAGCTAATTTTTATACTTTTTGTAGAGATATGGTTGCTCTATATTCCCCAGGCTCATCCTGAACTCCTGGGCTCAAGCAATCCTTCCACCTCGGGTTCCCAAAGTGTGGGGATTACAGGTGTGAGCCACTGCACCTGGCTCATCACAAACTTATACACACAAAAAGCACTTCTCCAAGGACGCCTATCCAACAACTGCCTGTCCAACCTCAGACTGGCTTTGTCTTGTTATGGATCTCTGTAGCCAAAGATAATTATTTCAAAACAATGATTTAATCCTCTCATTTATTTTTCCTTAAAAATTACTGTCTTTTTTTTACTCCCTGAGTATTCTTGTCATTTTTGATGGCATGTGTATTCCCATCGCAATGCTCTCTTCCCAAATAAGCATTCATTTCATTTTAGAGAGCCTCTTTCTGCTTGTTCTTCAGGTTGACAATAATACTAATGAAATAGGAGTGGTCCAGAGAACAATAGCAGCACAGTAAAGGGTGGAAGTTCTACAGAACATCGCCCAGAAAACAAGGAATTGATTAGAGGGGGTTCTCTGGGGGCTATTTTAAGGAGAGACTTGCCAGGGGTCTGCCCTAGCTTTTCACAAAGTAGGTGCCTGAGCCAACACTGCTTTCCATATCAAACAGACAGAGGGACAGATGGTGTTGGCTCACAGGAGGGGCCTGTGGTTGCTGGGGGAGGGACCAGCACAGCCTGGGTCTGTGTGGCCTGTGGAGCGCGTCTGAGAAGGGCCCTGAGATAGACTCTGGGAGGTCCGGACTTCCCTGCCCAGACTCCATGCGTGCGGTCACGTCTTGCCCTCCCTTTGCCCTTTGAGTTCAGAAATGATGCACATGGAAGGTGAGCTATTAAGAAGAGCGGCTGAAAATGGAAGAGCCATAGTTAATTTGGGGAAGAGGGATTCTGTGACCAGGGGCCCCCGGTTGGTGTCCACTGGATTTCTCACACCAACAGAATCTGATAAAGCCCCAGACGGAGGGTATGGGAAATTGCCATTTTATTTTCAATTCTGTCCTCTGCTCATCAAGCCCCTTTAAGCACATGCCTGAGGTGATGTCAGTGGAGCACTAACCCACAGGGTCTCAGTCACATGGACCCACGTTGCTCGTTGTAACCAGCTCCCACTCTGTCCCCACGCCTGCTCCCAGCCCTTGCCCCACCACTCCGCTCACTGGAACTGGACCGTCTCCCTGGAGCAGGCTCGGGGCAGGCTGGGCAGTGTGACGTGTTCCCAGGATTGACTGCCTTAGGCTGGGCAGTGTGACGTGTTCCCAGGATTGACTGCCTTAGGCTGGGCAGTGTGACGTGTTCCCAGGATTGACTGCCTTGGAATACAGAACTTGAACTTTTCAAGAACTTGGAATTAATAATCTTTCATTGTCTTCTAGCTGAGTTTCATTTTCTATAAAGAAATATTTTAAAATATGTGAAATGTGTTATCACAGTCTCAAAATAATACTACAATAGAGTTAGCTGAGTTTGGGTGTTATATATTTTTTTCCTATAGTGAAGGAAAACCATAGACTTTGATAATTGGCAATATTTCACCATTTTGTTGCAATTTTAAAAATCAAAAATTTCAGCTATGGCTGGGCACAATGGCTCATGCCTGTAATCCCAGCATTTTGGGAGGCCGAGGTGGGCGGATCACCTGAGGTCGGGAATTCGAGACCAGCCTGGTCAACATGACAAAGCCCTGTCTTTACTAAAAACGCCAAAAATTAACCAGGTGTCATGGTGCTTGCTTGTAATCCCAGCTACCTGGGAGGCTGAGGCAGGAGAATCACTTGAACCCAGGAGGCAGAGGTTGCAGTGAGCCGAGATTGTGCCATTGCATTGCAGCCTGGGCAAAAAGAGCAAAACTCCGTCTCAAAAAAAAAAAAAAAATCAGCTATGAAAAAGCATAGAAAGGAGCCTGTGATTTTACGTGACAGACTCACTGGAGGACATAGTCAGGAACCATGAACTAGGCAGTGTCTAAAAATCATCAGTACATCTGGAGTGTGTGTGGCGTGTGTGCTGTGTGTGGCGTGTGGCTTCTGTGTGGCATGCGTGGCGTGTGCCACGTGTGCCATGTGTGCCACCACAACTAGTTTGCTGTTGTCAGTTGTTCTCTCTCTGTGCCATGGATACCTTTTGAGGCCATTAGTCCCTTTAAAAAACATTGAATAAGTAAGATCATCTCCATTGCAAAAAGAAAATTCCAATTTATGATCAAGCCCTTCCAGATGTTCTAGTTTAAATGCCAAGGCACATCTCTTAAAACAACTGGGAACACAGGGGCCCAGTCTGCTTGCTGGGTGGAAGTGGTTCATGGGCAGGGCAGCGCCAGCCCCCTGATGTCCCCCCGATGTCCCCCCTGATGTCTGGGGGACATGGGCATCCCATCCAGGGCTCATCCAAGCGAGCACTGTGAGGCTGGACCTTCCTCAGGCCATCATCAGAGACAGCAGATGCCAACCCTGATGGGGCTAGGCCTACCTGGGCTGGGATGCCCTGCCCTTGCCTGGGTGGGTCCTCTGCAAATAGATGAGATGAGAGTATAGCTCATGCTAAGTACCCGTTGCCTGGGGAAAGCCTTTAAGCATCCCTGTGAAATCACCCAGAGGAAACTGTGGGCCTGTCCCAATGTCCTGCAACTTGGTCCCAGAAGGTCCAGTGGGAAAGAGGAGGAAGCAGGCCACACTGTAGCCAGCGCACTGGAGTGGCCAGAGGGCATTCAGAAGTGCCTGCAACCTCATCAAAGGGGAGCATGGCAGCTCGTATGAGGAGGAGGATGGAGAGAAATCATAGCAGGTCCCCATCCAAAGACCACAGTCCTATTTAGTAAGAAATCGGGTTAGAAGTATCAGACATAGAATCGGTACAGGACCTCGTGTCACACAGTGTGTTCACGGGGAAAGCTAAGGCCCCTGGTGTGAAAATCACAGCCCTTCCTCTGCCGGGGGAGCTGCACAGGAGAAGAGTGATCCTACACAGAACCAGGGTCGAGGGAGGGTGAAGCAGGCCTGTTTCTATGGCAACAAATAGCGTTTTGTTTTATTGCGCTAGAACGTACAGCAGTGATGTAACGGCCAACGGAATCTCTTTTAAAAAGTCATGCTCCACTTTGGATAAAGCTGGTATAATTTGTTAAGGATGAAAAACAAAACCTGCAATGTTAAATTATAGCAGCATAAAATAAAGTAACAGAGCAAAGCGAGAGGAAAGAGAGGAGCGTTTGATGAGATGGAGAAATGGTTCTAGGCAGAGAGAGAAGCAGGCGTTTCTGAAGAGCCCTGACCCCACGGCCAGCGAGGCTTTCTCTCCAGGTCTGAAATTAATAGAGCGAAACTCTAGCTAATGATGGAGCCATATGCTTTTATTTGGATAATAACCCTGCATTCTTTTTTTTTATTAGTTAAATATAAGACAACTGAGAACTTACATTGCTATAAGAAGCCAATTATGGCCAGGCACGGTGACTCACACCTGTAACCCCAGCACTTTGGAAGGCCGAGGCGGGTGGAGTTTGAGACCAGGCTGGCCAACATGGTGAAACCCGTCTCTACTAAAAATAAAAAAAAAATTAGCCGGGCGTGGTGGCACACACCTGTAGTCCCAGCTACTTGGGAGGCTGAGGCAGGAGAATTGCTTGAACCCAGGAGGCAGAGGTTGCAGTGAGCCAAGATCATGCCATTGCACTCCAGCCTGGGCAACAGAGCGAGACTCTGTCTCAAAAAAAAAAAGAAAAGAAAAAAAGCCAATCATATTCTTACTTACATATACATGCACGTATTCTCAATTTGAGCCATATTTGTGGGTGTTTCATTTTGCTGCTGTATCTTCAGGAGACCAGTAGCATTGTGTATTCATAACCCTGTAAAGGTTTGCCACTACTGACATGGAATCTGAAACAATGAGACAAAGTGGGAAGGAAACCGCTCCAGAGAAGGGGCTGAGCGGTGCTGGGGTGGAGGCTTTCACCTGCCCACCTTACTTTCTCATCACCCCCTCACTTGGCATGAGTGTCGAAGGAGCTGCCTGCTTGGTCCTCGGTCACATTCTAAGATCTGCCTGGCCGTTGGTTGGATTGGTGCACAGTTGCCATTTATCGACCTTATAGGATCCTATGTGGACTTTCTCTTGATATTTTTGTTTATGTTTATCTACATTTGCATAAACACTCATCTTCAGTTTATTTTTAATATTCTTGAGTTTGGGGTAGCATTAGGAATGAAAGAACTTTGTCCCTCTTTGACTCTGTAGTCTATAAATGACAATTTTTCGGTTGTTAGAACAATGATCCATCTTCCTCTGACAGAGAAGAGGTTTTGTGGCCTGTCATAAAGAGATTGCATCTCGTTATGCGGGCTGGCAGGTTCCAGGAGAAGTGCCCTGGAGCCTTGCCCAAAATTGCCTGCCAGCTGATGTGCGTGTCCTTCCCACTGAGGAGCAGGGTTTTTCTGTTTGGGGCAGCATTTGAGACGTACTTCTGGTCAGACTGGGGCATGCCCAGTGCCCAAGGGTCAGGCCTCCTGGTCAGTTGTTTCCACCCTGATGACCCAGGCAGCCTGGCATCCCATGACCTCCTCAGAAGAGGCCGCTTGTGCACCCTGAGTCCTCCCCAACGCGCCAGACTCCCAGGTTCACAAGTGGGGATCAGAGATACAGAATTTACTTTCTTTTCACAAGTTAAGGTCATTTTTGGGAGACTGGAATGTCAATTACGTCACCCTAGGAAGTGACTAGCACGAACTGAGTGCTCTGCTGTGTTCTGGTGCCACTGGCCATGATGAGAAAGTGAGGAGGCCGTGCAGTACGGATGCTGCTCGGAGGCCACAGCGAGGACCACTGCAGCCCTACGGCATGAGTTCCAAATTGCCACTTGGTTCCAGATGCCTGCGGAGAGGGCAGCCAAGCCATTCTCTGGGTTTCTCCAGCAGGGCTGTTTCACATTTGACCCAGAAATGGCGCCTGCATGTAGAGAAACGCCAGGCCGTGTGGGGACCCAGGTTTAATTATTCAGACCGCTTGGATCCTGGAGAGCTATGCTGAAAGGCTGTTGCTCATAACTCCAGCAGCTGTGAACAAGGACAGCTTTTGCCATAGATTCTTGCTGCTTTCTCATGTTGTGCTTGGAATACAAGATTTCATTTCTGATGTGCAATTTCATGATGTTTTTCTTCTGTGTCTGTGTTTTAAGATATTTGAACAGTTTGTCAAGACAAGAATAAAAGAAGAATACAAGGAAAAGAAAAGTAAATTGCTGCTAGCCAAAGAAGAATTCAAGAAACTTCTAGAGGAATCTAAAGTGTCTCCCAGGTATGGAGAGATAAATATACCAGATGATTTCTGGGGCTGGGAACTTGCCAGTTACAAGCGGACTCTTCAGGTTTGTTTTTGTTAAATTGTGTAACCCAGCCTTCCACAGACACAAAAGTGTGAGCTTTGAAGACCTGCCAGTGAGACCAGGCTGATTCCCCTCTACCATGCTGCCTGTCATGAGCCTCCAAATGTCCCTCTTATCAGTCCTGGGAAAGTGGGCTATTTGCTATCCAAATGCATCACAACCATTTTATTCCTACCCTGCATACCTTTCAAACGTCAGCAGCCCTGACTGACCCAGATAACCAATCAATACGTCAGCACCCATGAGATGAGGTTGAGTTTCTGAGCTAATGATCAAGAAGCAAAAATGCAAAGCTAACTACAAACAACAGCACCGTAACCCCTACCACACCCCTTGGTTCCAGATGTCTTAACAGTTGGTCCCAGAATAAGATGAAGATTTGATATACTGGAGAAGTGAACTGAGTTAACTGGGTTGCCAAGACTTACTAAAATAATAAGTGAGGCATTATTTCCATGAAATAAGACACACTTATAAGAAAATAGATGCTAGAAATCTGAAGAATACATAAGCTTAACTCTTAAAAATTAGCTTTAATTGACTAATCTTTATAAATTAATGAACATGTACTACTCTTAGAACTATAAAACTGTAAGTTTTATAAGCATAAAAATGGTTGACAATGTATTTTTATTTTAGACTGGAAGATCCAGCATCAGGTTTTTTGTTTGTTTGTTTTTGTTTTTTGTTTATTTTTGAGACAGTCTCACTTTTCACCCAGGCTGTAGTGCAGTGGCACGATCTTGGTTTACTGTAACCTTTGCCTCTGAGGTTCAAGAAATTCTCCCTGCTTCAGCCTCCCAAGTAGCTGGGATAACAGGCACCCACTACCATGCCCAGCTAATTTTTGTATTTTTTAGTAGAGACAGGGTTTCGCCATGTTGACCAGGCTGGTCTTGAACTCCTGACCTCAGGTGACCCACCTGCCTTAGCCTCCCAAAGTGCTGGGATTACAGGCGTGAGCCATGGTGCCTGGCCAGCATCAGTTTTTAAGCGGACATTAATTGATGCTTTCTATGAAGGCATAGGCCTCCTTTGTTTGACCTGTGGTTTGGTTGATCAAGAATTGGGTGGCCTAAGTTAGTGCTAGTTACACAATCCTCATAACACTTCTCTAACTATTCTAGAGAACAGGTACTTTCTGAACGGGGAAAAATAGCATGAGTTATCTTCATCACAAGTGCTAACGTGGGCAAGTAAATGTGTGTCCCATTGCTTGCAACTTGTGATTTTCTATGGTTAAAGTAGACATGAGAATGCTGGGTTCTAGCCATGGCTCAGCTGTGTCCACCCACCAGGTGGCCATGGGACAGAGGCCGCGGAGGCAAGGGCTTGGGAAAGGTGTGGGAGCCCCTTCTCTGCCTTAGTTCACAGCCTGGCCCCGGCCCTGGCCCATCTTATCCCGGCCATGGGGTAAGTATTGGGCCTTCCTGTGCGTCAGAGCCCTCCTCCAAATGGGAGGATGACCACACACACCTCAGCAAGTGACTAGGAGGATGGAGTGAGGGGCTACAGGGAGGGACCCCAGTGGCACCTGGCAGGCAGGAGGAGCTCCAAAAGTTATAGCTGTCATTACTGTTGAGACCGTCATTACTATTAAGGACATTTGGCCAGCATTCTCTGTCTCTCTATTGATGAAATAGTAGCAATAAGCCACATACTCCCCTTCCCATGAATACATCATGAAGACAATGGAAAAAGATATTCAGAATGCAATGAGTCATTTAAAAAAGATGATACACACACACACGCAAGGAAAATGAGTGGTAGAAATTAGAAGGGAGTTAAACTGACTATTTTTAAAATTAGATTTAATTGCCTGCTATTTTTTAAGAGAAATTTTATTGTATATATTTAAACTATACAACATAATGGTACAGGGTGCATAGAGATCATAAAATGCTTACTATAATGCAGTAAATTTTAGCATTTATACTTGAGATATATTGCTTTTATAATTATAAAGCTTTTTTTTAATTTTTAAAGTAGCTAAGTTTACAACATTTCAAAAACTTTTTCCAGATCTCCTGTCTACCGTTCTGTAGGCATCCTATTGAAACATGTGCAATTCAAATGACCACATGCTGGACGGCTAGGCTCATCCCCACGCAGGCCATGTGGGCCTCTTCGAAGCAGCCTCCTGGGGCTGTGTGGCCTCCTACAGCCATACAGTCCCTTACTGGTCGCCCGTCTCAGCCTCAGTCTTGAGCAGCCTGTGGGAATGGTGGTGATGGGATAGTCCAGAATTCCCAGACAGCCCCTAGCCCCAGCTCTGCCCGCCTCTCGGGAGAGCATCCACTAGGGACTGGGTCCTAGCCAGGTGGGGTTGGCTACCTGGTGGGGTTGACACCTGGTGCTCCTTCTTGGAAGCTGCAGCAGCTGCCTCCTTCATGGCAGGCTGTCCTGAGTCCCGCTTAGTGGAGGGAGAACAGAGATGCAGGGCCCGTGACTCACCTTCCTGAGCTCACACCACAGCTCGTCAGCATCAGCAGAAACCCAGTGCTGCCCCTTGGCATGGCTCGGGGGCCACAGAGGTATGAAGCTCCCTTTCTTTTCAGGGACACTTTTTCAGAGAGACCCAGAATAGGACCTGTCTAGCAGCGGCACCTGTCCAGCCCCTAACTGAGAATGTGTAGATGCCTGTCTAGCCAGGGGAGCGTGGAACAAGCCCAGGCGAGTCTGACCATTTGACTCATCCCGAGCAGGTCAGGGGTGGAGTGTGGCGTAGCCACGGCACAGCAAGGTTGTTACGTCAGTAAAGGAAGGAAGGGGGAAGGAGGGAGAGAAGGAAGAAAGGAATGGGGAGAAAAGGAGGGAGGGAGAGAAGGAAGGAGGAAGGGAAGGCAGGGGAGAGGGCAAGAAGGAGGGAGGGAGGAAGAGGGAAGCCAGAGAGAAGTGCTTTTCTTGCAAGAGATGTGTAAACAAGCCCCCCACAGATGGAGAGCAGGAAAACGGCAGCGCCTTGGGGAAGGAATGAGACGAGTTGTTCAGTGACAGAAATGAGCATGAGTCTGATAATTATTTGTCTTGTCTTCTAACAGCCATGTCGGCATAATCTTGTTGTTTGTATATTTCAGAAGCTATTAAGTTATAATAATTTAACACAATAATTCAGTGTCTGCAAGGAAGTGTAAAATTCTCTGGGAAGAGAAATCGGAGGGAATAAGAAGAATCCCCCGGACAAAAATGACCACATTTTTCCAGGCACCCCAGAGCACATTGCCCAGGCCAGGCCCTGCTGTTGCTGGACAAGCGAGTGCATCTGCATGGACCAGTGGCTCCAGGCCTTGGCCCCTCTACCCCTGTCCCTGTTTCTGGCTTCAAGTTCAAGGCTAAGAGAACAGGAATTTGCTGGGCCCGGTGCCTGTGAAGGTCAGGTTGGTCACCGCAGAGGCGCGTCCTGTTTTGCCCTCTGAGCTGCCCTAGCCTTGAGAACAGCCTTGCTGGTCTAGACTGGGTCACTCGTGTTTTCCTGTGGGGCACCACCTGACCTGGCAGCTCTGATTCACTCCATCAGTGTTTGGGGCTCACTAGTTGCCAGACACTGGGCTGGACATTCAGGGCATTTATCAGAGAATGAAGCAGATAATGCCTCCCCCATTCGAACGTGGGAGTCCGGTTCCACACGTGAGGTTTGACAAGATCACCACTGTGAAGAGGGCTATGATGGAGTCACAGTTCTCTGACCTTCTAGACAGGGCGAGTTTCCCAAAGAAGATGCCTTGGCCTGGTTTCTCATGACGAGCAGCTCTAACTGGGGGAAGAAACAAGGGAAGGGTGTGCCAGGCGGAGGGAACAGTGTAAGAAAGACCGTGGCAGGCAGAGCATGGTGGCAGCAAGGAAGGGGCGGAGGAGACCTGGCAGGCACAGTTGTGACGGGGACGGCTGGGAGAGTGACAGCTGCACGAACCGGCTGAGGAGGCTAGTGGAGGCCGCTCATTTCTGGAGGCCACTCAGAGGAGAGACCAGGGGTTCCTGCAAGTGAGGGCAGGTCAGGGCTCTGCAGGACCCCGGTGAGGAGCAGGCACGGCTGGCCAGAGCCGCTCACCCACCGGGTGCCCTGCCGCCCACGGCCAGGCCTGGTGGAAGGGCTGGCTGCTTGCTCAGGCAGTACCGCTGCAGGATCTCTGGGGAGGCCAGAGTTGCTCTCTGGAAGGTGTCTCAGGAAACTCTTTCTTTTTCAGGACCACATTTAAGGAGTTTGCGGAGAAATACGGCCGGGATCAGAGGTTCCGACTTGTTCAAAAAAGAAAGGACCAGGAGCATTTTTTCAACCAATTCATACTTATTCTTAAGAAACGGGACAAGGAAAACAGACTAAGGCTGCGGAAAATGAGATGAGTTTGTGAAAAATGCAATAAGCCCGGGGGTTGGCCCTGGGCGTGCCGGGGGCGAGGAGGTCACGGTGGAGACAGACACGGGCGTGGGGCGGCCGGCACCTGCACGACCCAGCGGGCACCGGCACTGCGGGGTCTTCGTTCTCAGAGGATTACTGTTTCATATTGAAGCTCTCTCTTTTGTACGTTCAGAGTTTGATGCATTTCTAATTGTCATGATACGTCGATCTCTTAATTGTTTTAATTATGCAAATTACTTGTAATATACACAAATTATCAATCCACTGCAGGACTGTGGGGAAGCGGGAACAGGAGCCTCCGTAACCATCTCAAGGCATTTGTGTCATCACCTGAGACGATTAGCGAAAATTTTCTGAAAAACTTTTGTGAATTACTTCGCTCCTCCAGGATTCCCGCGCCGTTGAGGAATTCCTTACTCTGTCCCTAGGTCTCAGTCTCGTTTCTGAGTAGCAGCAATAGGGTTTTCATCGTTCATCATAGTGACAACTGTGAGCATCCCACACCTGGACTGTGGATCACTTACAGGTTTCCAAGGGTGGCCGCGCGTTCCTCCCAGTGGGGCATCCCGGTCTGGAGCAGGGAGCCGTGCTGGTTGCCACAGGTCCTACTTCAAAAGAATTATTTTGTACAAAACCATCATATTAATATTTGAGTTATTTTTATTGTATGCCCAGAGTTTGCATGAGATTTTTTCTCATCACCTTTGTATAAAAAATTTTTAATTTTTTTTAATCAATAAATATTTTAAACCAGCGTGTGTGTGTGTGTGTGTGTGTGTGTGTGTGTGTGTGTTACTAAGGCATTCCTTATGATCTTAAGCAGCAAAATTGTGTTTCAACTAAAGATACCCAGTTTTGAAAGATTCAGGGGGAAAAAAAATCCTGATGATTGCAATAAGGACCATGAAAATGCCACTCACACCAAATCTTACTTTTTAACATACTTAGTAGTCCTGGCTGGAACCATGTTGGGCAAAACCTTCGCTAATTAATTGCGTTCCTTGAACTATTGAACATCCATTTATTTATTTCAAGATTTGTGGAGTTATCTGTTCAGATACAATGTCTTTGTCCCCTAGTAAAGAGTGACACAGCCTCCTCATCTACCTTCTTCTTAATTAGTTCCCATGGGAACACTTTTTTCCAAACTTATTAGGATGTAATTGGGCAAGGTGGGATCCACTCTTCACTGAGATCAGCCCTGGTCCTGACACTATCACTGTTAACACCTCACCTCTGTGTCAGGTGGCCCCTGGGGGTTCCAGGGCCATTGATCAGGCTCAGGCCTACTGTCCAGTCCACCCAACACAAAACTGCAGGTACACAACCACATTTCACTTAGAGTGGACACAGCATGGGCAAAGTGGCCCTGACCAGGGGGACTCGACTCATGGCTCCAGTCCCGCCCCTGCCCACAGTGCTGCCTCCTGCTGAACTCCTGGTTCCCCGCCGACAGAGGATGGAAGGTGCTTGCCAGGACTCACGGGGGAGTCCCCAGCTCTGCTGGCTCCAGACACCAGTAATGGCCTGGTCCGGAGTGGTGCCGATGGCCGTTGTGAAGGAGAAGCCTCAGTGAGTGGCCTCAGGCTGTGGAAGCCACCACTTTGTAAACCTTTCCTTCCTCTCGGTGAAAGGGGAGCACTGGCTTATGGGCTGCGGTTACTGAGTGTCCACCTCAAGCAAGAGATGAAGAAGTCTGGGAATTGGGATGGACACAGAATGTGGAGATATTCGGGTCCCATGTGCTTGCGAAATCCCCTTCACAAGGCACACTCTAGTACTGGGGAGAAGACAATGGTCCTGCGGCCATCAGCCTGTGTCTTTCCCTCACTACCCTGATTCTTACGCATTGGGCCAACTTCAAAGTGACCTCGAGGGCGGGATGCGGGGTCTGCATGGGCTTTAGTAGAATTGCTCAGGGAGGGGGTGGAGCTACTGCCATAAAAGGCCAATGTTCAGTCTCAAAGATGGCCCCTTTGTTGGGCTGATCACGTGGAATTGTCTCATTAATGAGGAAGCAATTTCTTCTCATTCGATTACCTCCCCAGAGGCCGATGTTCTTTCCCTGCCTGAAGCACTTCTACCGTGATCACGACCGATTCCTCCAGGATGGCCTCCATCTCCAGGGCTGCCCCCAAGATGTCTTGTTGACCAAGGGATTCAATCCAAGTGAAAGTCATTGCAACAATGAGCTCAGAGCCACCCGACTCAGTGGTGTTCCCATGTGCCCACCCCCACAGCAGCTGCCTTGATAAGTCTGGAATAACCTACGAGGGCCTGGACACAGTGCCACCTGGGAGACAAAACCCTGAGGGTCTGGTGCCTGTGGGTTATGGTGCCCACCAGAGCCCAGCAGCCTGCAAGAGGCGGCGTTTCCCCTAGAACCAGGTGCAACAAGGGGAGGTGGGAGTGGCCCCTTGGGTCATCGACTCATTAACCTACTTAGGGAATCTTTATGTCCATCCCCACAGCCCTGGGCTGGTGCATGTGAAGAGCCTGTTGCCCAAGGGCAGAGTTTGCTCACCATCTTGGTTCTGTTCAACTGGAGGCCGTGGCAGCTTCCTGCTATTTGGACCCCTCCTGGCTCTGAAGCAGGAGGTGGAGAAGGTGGCCGCTCTGCTGGCTGGGGCGAATTCTCCCAATTCCACATAATGAGGACTCGGAGAACCATGACTGGACCCTGCGGAATTTGCTGGGCATCTTTAGTACCACTCAGTGCTTGGCACTGGTTGGCAGGAAACTATCAACTCAGAAAGTCAGCAGTGGTGAAGACTTGGACCCCACAGAAAAGCAAGCTTGGCTCACCCATCACGTGGTTTTGGGTAAAAGGAGCCTGAGATTGAGCTGGAAGTGGTGATTCTCATCCAAGGGCTCATGGCTGTCTCTGGAAATAGGACCTGAGCAGCTGAACTCTTCCGTGGATCATGTCTTCTCCTTTCTCTCCCCTGTTATCTCATTCGGCCCACTGCCCCGGGTTTCTGCTGGGGACTTTGTGGTGTTACCTCAGTGGATTCTCCCACGCTGGGGGCGGGGCCCCGTTCTCACCAATGCCTGTGAGTGTGCTGTGGGGTGAGGGGCCAGAGCTCCATAGTTTCTATTCGTCCCCAAAACTCCTCTCCCAGGGGTTCTGCCCCGCCCTGTGGCCCCCAAGTCTCCCACACCACGGCTCTGGGCCCTCTTCCTTCCTGCTCTTGGCTGCTTCTGTCAATGGGAGGCAGCAGCAGGAAACAGTGATGGTGGGCGGGGGAGTTTGGGGTGTCTGTTCCCCCTCTTCCCTGCTGCCTGGCCACATTGTTTCCTTTGCCCAAGGCCACAGCTCTGGTCAGGGAGCTGTTCCTACAGCCACGGCTCACGTGGACTTTGGCAACAGTGGCCTTTCCCGCCCTTTCAGGCTCGGGCTAGAAGCAGCATCTGTGGTGGCTTTTCCCAGGCACTCTGCCCTCCCTGACTTCCCTCAGCTCGGCTCCAGTGTTCAGGGTCACACTCTGGTAAGTCCTCCTCCGTCACCCCTAGCGAGTGGCCATCTGTGGGCCATCAGCGCCATGACCCTCTAATCCCCGCCATCATTTCCATCGTCGCCCAGATGGTAATTATCCAATGCTCATGACAAGGCACAGTTACATCAGAAATGAAATAGGCATGAGTGCATGGGGAGGGCCCCGTGTTAGCTGTTTCCACAAACGTGAAAGAATCCATACTCTCTCGGTGCTTAGGAACACACAGGTGCCGCCGGCCTGGAGGAAAACTCCTGGGTATTTTTGCTTTTCATCCAAATATTCGGGGGTCTCGTATGTTAGTTCATACAGCCATGATTATGATTCGAAGATAATTAAATGATTTAAAGTCATGGTTAGCTGAGTGATGGAGCCATCTCCATGCTGATGGTTGTATCTACCTGCACGCCCATCTGTGGGCCCATCAGCAATGCCGTGGAGATGAAGGGGGAATGCGGGTGTAATTAGGGACGTGTTCAGGGAGCAAAACGAGCTCTGAAACCCCTCATGATGTCTGTCTATAGGGAGTGCATTTCCAATGTTCTCCTACTTTGGGGGCTGTAGATGTAAATAACCTTTCTAGTTTCAGTATGTATTTAAGATATTATAGAAAAACAGTATTAGGTTATAATTTCATTTTTCCATGTTTCACTTACATTTTAAATGCCACTAACCTAACTTGGATGAACTTGACAGTAGCCTCTTAGAATTTAGCAGGAAACTAAAATATTCTATTAGAGGGTCCATCAGAAATCACTGAATCCCACCCAGGACCAGCAAGAGAGCGGAAGGAGACGCAGTCACTTCCCTCCAAGCTCCAGAGCCCAAGAGCTGGGCCCACCCACCTCTCACCTTCCTGGGGCCCTTGCCTTTCACTAACCCCTCCCACCTGCCCCTGGCTCCTCGCTCATCCTCTCTCAGACTCTGTTCTTCTCTCAGACTTGCCCCTGGGGTCTCAGCTCAGGGGTTCCCTGCCCACCTGGGCCCCACCCCGGCCCCACCCGGGCCTTCTCTCTCTGCCTGGGAGTTCTCAGCTCCTCCTTGCTGCTGCCAGATCTGCCAGCCCCTCCACACATCAGAGCATGCCCCTTGCCCGTCTGCTGCTCCCCAGCACCCCCTGCTCTGTGGGGAGGCCCCCGCAGGGAGGATGAGGGGGCCCCGGGCCTTCCTGGCCGTGAGCGGTCGAGACCAGAGGAGCAGCGTGGCGTGACGGAGATGGATGGGCCTACGTGGACTCACGGCCCTGCTGTTTCTCACATATGGTCAGGACACTTTTTTTTTTTTTTTAACCAAGGTTTACTCAGTGTGCCATTCATTTCTTTACTAA